TGGCAGAATGCATATTTGGCATATACGAGGTCCTGGGTTCAATCCCCAGTACCTCCTCTAAAAATAAGTAAACCTAATTACTTCCTCTGCCAAAAACAAAAACAAGAAAGAAAGACAGGGAAGGAAAGAAAGACCCCATTAGTGGTCGTGCCTTCCGTGTCTAGCTATGTCCCACAAGAAGTTGTCTGTTTCAGAGCCAGGCCCAGCCTCCTGGGTCCCTGCCTTCCTCAGCTTCCGTGATATGACAGCCCAGGGTTTCACAACAGGCTGGGAAGATCCTTACCACCCACCAGCTTGCTGTGGGCCATGGGGAGGGAGCCGGGAAGACAGAGGGACATTTTGGGATCAGTATTTTTACCTTGGCTTCTCTGCTGAGCAAACTGGGGTCTCAGAAGTAGGAACTCATGCTCCTGAATCCAGCCCAGTGTTCTAGAAAGTACTCAGTTACCCTGCCCCAGTATTCCAGAGAGTGCATTCTCACAAGTCTATTAAGCCAAGGGTTTCTGGGGCCTTCAGTGTTCTCCTGTCGAGGAAGGATTCTGGCCAGAGAGCCCCAGAGAACAGTTTTATGTAAGGCTGGGGCCAGGGAACAGAGCCAGTCCCTTTGGTACAAAAGAAGTCTGGCGTTATTGAGTTCATATCAGGTGCCAAGCAGTGTGCTAAGAATTTCATGTAGATCCATGCCTCTAATAGCATATAGCGAAGATCTTGTTGTCTCTTGTTTCACATAATTGTGTGTTCCCTTTCTTACCAGCTCTGTGACCTTGGGCAAGTCCCTTCGTTTTTCTGAGCTTCCATTTCCGTTTGATGTTAGAAAGATGAAGGGCTCATCCAAAGTCACATACTAGTAGAAAAGAAAGCCAAATTTTTTTAACCACAAAACTTTCCTGAGTTCTTCATACATGAAAACCTATTGCTATTTTGGGACAGGAAGTGGGCAGAGCAGATTAAAACGCTACTTCTGCTCTCAAGGAGATTATAGTCTCTGGAAGGTATAGCAAATGCGGTTTGTTTTTTCTTTCTTGACAGATGGCTTGAATCAATTAGTAATGGCTGCCTGCCTGGACTGCGGCAGCCCGGTCTGTGGGAAAGTGTGCCGGGATTGATTAAGAATGTCTGCCAGGGGATTCCCCGCGAAGGACCAAGTGTTTGCCGCGCCTGGAGTTGGAGACGCCCGAGGTGGTGTTTGGAATGGCCTTTGAGGTGGCCAGACGGGGACGACTAAGAACAAAGCGAGCGTCTGCATGGAGCTACGCCGCGGTGAGGGGAGGAGAGAGGGGAGGCAACCATTGGCACTGCAGGGAAAGCTCCCTGGAGGCGGCAGGGGTGCCCCGAGGGAGACGGGGCGGACTGTGGCTGCGGAGGCGCGCGGGGTGGCGGCTCTCGCGGCTGGAGGTCTCCGGCGAGACGCGCCGGCGGATGCGGAGCGCGCGGGCTCCGGGAGAAAAGACGCTCTGAAGTCAAATCCTGACTCAGTCACTCGTTTAATGCGTGACTCGGGACAGACCATTTAACCGCTCGGAACCTCCGTTTCCTGACCTGTGAAACGGGGGAGGGTTATTGGGTTGACTGCCGAGTGCTTGCCGCTGCCGTAGTGAACGCAGACTCAGCAGCCCACGGAGGGCGCGTTGTCCTTGCCGGACGCCGGGGGTGGCGTCCACTCCGTAGCCTGTGAAAATGGCGCCCCCAGGCGCGCCGGCGTGGACGGTTACCTCCTGGCGGTGTGTGACGTCCCGTGTGCCTGGATGAAGAAACAAGGCCCAGAGAGGTTGAGTCATTTGCCCAAGTCACACAGCTAGCACACGGCAGAGGTAGGGTTTGAGCTCAGGTCTGTCTGACTCCACAGTCCAAGCCTGTAACCACCATGACCTCCTGCCTTCCACCGATTTGCCAAGCCTGGAAAAACGGTTTGAACTTTGGGAGAGTGCTTAAGCTGTGTAACTTCCCTATGTGGATTTTTCTGCAGGGATAGGTAGCAAATGAGTTCATTTTCATGCGTGTGAAAATCCGGAGCAGTGCCTCGTTCATGGTGAAAGTTACCCAGAGCCGTAAGGGTGAGGGCTGCGGGGAGATTGAAACCCACTCTGAAACTAAGTGTGAGGAGGGTGACCCTAAAAGAAAGAGCGTGGCAGTAGGATTTTCAATGAGAGGGAAGCAGGTGAGTCCTTGGGCCTGGGACAAAGAGGTGAAGGCGGCTGAGGAAACAGATTTGAGGGGTTTAGAGGGGTGCTCACTCTCAAAAGGGCTGCTGATGTATCCATCTGCAGGGATGTCAATTGAATAGGGTCCCAAAGGGGACGTGGGGGTAACTGATGAGCATTAGTGAAGGGCTTGTAACATAGCTGTGGGCTGGGAAAAGGGAACAAGCAGCGGGTGGTGACGCTCCTAGGACTGGCAGGAGCAGGGAGCTCTGGGCCTGAAGGAGTGAGGGGAAAGGCTGCTTTGGAACTTGGAGAAAGCTGTAGCCTTGAGACAGAGCCAGGCTATAGGGAGAGGAATACAGCTCCCATTGGCCAGGCCACCTGCATCCAGGCAGCATGGGGGCACCCCTTGCAAACCTCACAGACTGGGAAAGGTCAAGGGATAAACATCAAAGGGGAAACTGGGATGCTCTTAGCACAAGAGGGCAGAAAAACTCGACAGACATTCATTACATGACCCTGACCCAGATGATTTCTGAACATTCTGGCAGCTCTCAAATTCTTTAATTGGATGACCATTGACTCTATCAGCTTTTATTTTCTGGGACATTAAATTCTGTGGAGTCTGGTGGAACTCTCAAATGATGCAGATTCAGTGTGGGTAGCTGAGGGGATGGGGACCAGGGGTGCAGAGATGCATATTTATGTACAGCTTGACATCAGACAGCCTCCATGTTCAAGCCAGAGAGGCTCCCAGAAGGTGAAAGACACGCCATCCACAAAGTCCCTGCTGTTATTAATCAGCAAACGTCTCAGGAGCAGGTGTGCATGAGTGAATTTTGGGGTCACGGCAGGTAATCCAGTCTGGCCAGGCTGAAGCAGGTGACCTGACTGTCCGCCTGATCCTGAGCCACTGGATTAGGGGATTAATCTAAATCTCTTGGAGGAGAGGACGATTTTCGAGAAAGCCTGGGACCCAGAAAATGAAAGCTGGTCTTAGTGACCTCAGACTCGTTCCCTGGAATCATTTAGAAAAGCTACCATTGCTGTTGAGACCTCCTGGGATGTGGGGGACAGAAAACACAGAGCTCAAAGGGGTCTGGGAGTAATGGAGATAGAAATCAAGGAGAAAGAAAATTCAGGGAGTTCATGCACTTCCCAAGGGGCCAGTTAAGATCCAGTGCTAGTTGATGGTTGCTGAATAGAGCCAGACAGGCTGGATTTGGATCCTAGCTCTGCCTCTTACTTGTTGTGTAATGTTGAGCAAGTCACTTCCTCTCCCCGTGCCTCAGTTTCCTCATCTGTAAAACTGGACAATAATAAAACCCACTTTATAAGAGATGTTCTGGATGAATAAATGTTTGCAAATGCCTGGTATGTAAAAAGCACTATATATAAATTTTTGCTACATAAATAAGAATATAAGTCCTTCATTGTCAGGTCTTCCAATCTTTCAAAGGAAGTAAATTTGGAAATCCAAGTTTTAATAATCATATTTTCTTCTTTTTTTATTTTAAATAGAGATACTTGGGACTGAACCCAGGACCTCATGCATGCTAAGCACACACTCTACCACTGAGCTGTACCCGCCCCAACAATAACCATATTAATAGCAAACACTTAGGCAATTTAGAAACACCTTAAGTACTGAGTAAATGTTGTGAGGTAGAGACTATTATTATCCCATTTTACAGATGGGGAAACTGAGGTATGAG